TGATACTGCCTCGGAAACCCAAGTAGGGCTCGCTATGAGTCGGGTTTGACTCGAGGGCACATAACAACAACAACAACAACAACATATGTTATCTGATGGTTGCTTCCATTGGTGTCTATTGTAGAACCAAACAATATGTAATCTTTGACAACTTCAATCTTTTCTCCATTTATCGTGATGTTATTTATAGGCCCAGTTGTGAGGATTTTTATTTTCTTTATAATGAGGTGTAATTCATACCGCAGACTGTATTTTTCGATCTTCATCAGTAAGTACTCCAAGTCATCCTCACTTTCAGCAAGCTAAGTTGTGTGGTCAATGTATTACAGGTTGTTCATGATTCTTCCTCCAATCCTGATGCCATATTCTTCTTCATATAGTCCAGCTTCTCAGATTATTTGCTCAGCATACAGACTGAATAAGTATGGTGAAAGGATACAACCCTGAAGTACTCCCTTCTTGATTTTAAACCATGCAGTGTTTAAAATTTACCCTCCGGTTAGCAGTCACTGCCATCGAGTCAGTTCCAACTCATGGTGACCCTCCTTGGGTTTCCGAGGCAGTATCTCTATGGAAGTGGTTTGCCCAGTCTTCCTCCTGAGGTGTGGCTGGTGGAGGCTCTGTCTCATCCCTGACTCTTCCCCCATTTCCTGCCTTTGGGTGTGAGGCTTGTCTGCTTCCCATTACCTGGATCTTGTGGCTCTGTCTCATCCCCAGCTCTTTCCCCACTTCCAGGTAAGGGAAGCAACTTAGCTGTTCAAAACTTCTCCACCTTCCCCTTGCCTGGATCCCATGGCTCTATCGTCCCTGGATTTTCCCCCACTTTCTTGCCTCTGGGTGGGGGGCCTGTCTCCCTCCCCTTGGTAAAAACCAACCTTCTGATTAGTAGTCAAATGCTTAGGCATTACACTACTAGAGCATCTTCCAAATAGCATGGCAGGGCCTAAAATTCAAAGACTTTAATTTCCAAGTCTTAATTTGATCTACTGGACCACAAATCAGAACAGGACAGTTGGTATACTTTCTGGAGAGGGCTGTCAAAATCAGAACTGTCAACCTAGAGATAATGAAGGTAGAATTGAGGCCAGATGCTTGCTGAGGCTTATGTCTTATCCCCTTACAAAGAAGACTTGTTATAAAGACCACTCTTTCTCCATACTCCCTGGTGGTAGTAAAGGTTATGTGTCAACTTGGCTGGGCCTGATTTTGAGTGGCTGGGCAGCTAGTTGTAGTATGAGACTGGTAATCAATTCCATGGTGGAATCTATGGGAGCAGCTGAGTAGCTGCCTTAGGGATGAGGTCTGCTTCCAGTATATAAGGAGAAATTTTGAGAAAGATCTCTGCAGCTTTTGGTGCATTTGGACCTTGCATATAGCTGCATCTTCATTTAGCAACCTGCCATGTTTCCTGCTGAACTTGGACTATCTTTAGACTTGAACTAGTGGCCTGCCATGTTGTTTGGTAATGCTAGTACTGTGCCATTTTACTTGTCAATCTTGGGCTTGTTAGCCTAAGAAGCCAGCAGCTGTCTGAGTAAAGAGACACCTCTAGCTCCAGTGGGCTGGGAGCAAGAGACAGAGCTAAAGCCCAAGGTCAAGGGGCTTTCACCCAGCCCCTAGAGCTTGGCACTTTGAACTCAGACTTCCAGCCTCCAAAACTGTAAGAAAATAAATTCCTGTTTGTTTAACATGTGATATTTCAGTTAGAGCTGTATGAAGTGACCAAAACACTCCCCATACATAGTATACTTAGGAGTTACAGTACCAAAGATAAGAATAAGACTGAAAGAAAAAAAAAAACACTAAACTCACTGCCTTCAACTCGATTCCCACTTATAGTGATCTCCATTGGGTTTCTGAGGTGGTAAATCTTTACAGAAGTAGATTGACCCATCTTTCTGGTTAGCAGTCAAATGATTTAGGCACTATGCCACCAGAGCTCCTAAGACTAGCTCAGGTTTAATTAGGGCTTCTATGAGCTCTGGTGGTGTAGTGCCTAAGGCTAACCAGAAGACTGGTGATTCAACCCCAGCAGCCACTCCTCAGGAGGAAGACTGGGCAATCTGCTTCTGTAGAGATACTGCCTTGAAAACCCAAGGAGGGATCCTTATGAATTGGAACTGACTCGATGGCAGTGAGTTTCTTTTTTTTTTCCCCCCATCTATGAGCCAAACTGTATTCTAAGCTGACGTGCATTAAATCCTTTCATTCCTACACCGATTCTATGCAATTGGTACAATTATAATCATCCTTCTTTTATAGATGAAGAAACTGAAGCTGGAGGGGATAAGTAGCCTTGCTTATGGTTATCAAGTGGCAGAACTAGGTTTAAACTCAGGTATCATGTCCTGTTAACAGTACCTGAGACTATTTCTTTTATCATTGAAGTGGTTCAGTGTAAGCCTTTGGAAGCTCCAGATCTGGGTACCATGGACTGTACTCACACTTTGGGAAACTTCAGCTTCAGCTCACAGTGTGTCTTCAATTGTTCTGAGGGAACAGACTTAATTGGGATTGAAGAAACCACTTGTGGACTATTTGGAAACTGGTCATCTTTAGAGCCATCCTGTCAAGGTGAGGAACTGTTCAGACTAGAGGCTTTGTCATGGAGGTCCTGGGTATATAGTCTGAGAAAAAACAGTAGAATCTTGCTAAGAATCCTGTATAGTCTTCTGGAACAAAAATTAACCTAATGACATGATACTCTGATGCTTCCTGAAGGGTTTATTGTTATTAAAGTTAAAAATAAAACCTCAAACAAAAAATAGCAACCAAATATCCTGTTACCTATGACTTTATCTCACAGGGTACACAGGTTACAGTGATACAGGAGGTTATGCTGTGTTTTTTCTTTTCTTTTTTTCTTGCCGTGGTACACAAAATCGGTCTTGCTGAATCTGTTTAATTTTGGCTTTTTTCTCCTCTCAATAACACCCTACTTTATGTGGTGCCCTACTTAACACCAATGAATTTCCTTCTTAGGGGGCAGAGTTTTTTTGTTTTTTGTTTTTTGTTTTTAATTGTTTTATTTGTTTGACTCTTGAAGTCATGTTTAACTTTTCCTCCTCTGCAAACTCTCTGGAGAATAACAACTGTGCTGAAAAACAAAAATGCAGTACTTTATGTTTTTTTCTTCCCCATACAAAATAAAAATAGGTATGTTTGTTTTTGCCTTCTTAAAAAAAAAAAAAAAAAGATTATTCTTGTATGGGAGAAAACAGCACTTTTGAAGAGCTGGTTACACCTTCTATGCTTAAGCTCCTGACCCATCACTTTAAGTGATTTAATTCTCAAAAGAACTATCAAAACACTTCAATTAGCTCATAGAACAAATTTAACTTGCTGAATTTTATAGAAGTTGAGTGACTTGTTTTAGGGAGTTGAGATGTTTTTCAAACCTACATTGATAGACTTTAGAACATGTGAAAATTCTCTCCATTCACTAAGAAAGTTGCATAACAACTCTTTAGTTGGATGCCCAGTAGCATGATACTTCCTTAGAGAACCACCACAGCTGGGATAGCAGCCTGGAGCAGCCTCCCTTCAAATACCTCAGGCTTTGATGCTCTCTTGGCTTCATCTCTGCCTCTCCACCCTCCATCATTCTCAAGAAAATGAAGTCTGGAAGCATTATCAGAAGAAATTGCTAGCAGGTTCATGTGAATGGTTCTACAGTTGGATTAGGTATTTTGGATAAAAACCTTTGGTCAAGGGAGGGTGTCCACCCAGAAATACTGATGTTTTGTTTTCATCTCTCATTGAAGTGATTCAGTGTGAACCCCTAACAGCACCTGATTTGGGGACCATGGATTGTAGTCATGGCCTGGCAGACTTCAGCTTTAGCTCTATGTGCAACTTCAGCTGCTCTGAGGGGACTGAGTTAATTGGAGAGAAGGAAACTATATGTGAATCTTCTAGAATCTGGTCCAGCCCTAGTCCAATATGTCAAAGTAAGTAAGTTTGGTCAAATATACCGCAGACTTAAAAAGGGAAGTGATGGATGAGCAGATGGTCTGGAAAGATCTAATGAACACTTACATTTTGTTTTGCTGAATGTATATGGCTTAAAAATAAATTTATGATCATTAACATAGTATACAATTCTTGACTATTCTTACTCCTCCTTCAATGAGAGCCATTTCTTTCTTTCTTGTTTGGGGCCAATTCTCAACTCCTCTTCGCATCTTAATGCTTAAAATTTAAACCTACTGTCTCTCCACTTAATTTCTTATTTATTTTTCTATTCCACTGCAATCTGAATTCTGTTAGCCCACGGAAATGCCTCTACAAAGCTCACTAGTGACCACCTAACTTCCAAAATAGTGGCTGTTTCTCAATTATCATTAAGCTAATGCTTCCCAATTCTGTCTTTGCAAGAGAAGGACTATATCTTCCTCATCTTTGTATACTCTCCACCTGTCACAGTGTGGAGCAGAGAGGGGAGAGGAAATAGGTACTAAATAAGTGTGTATTAAATTAGCATGTGAATACTGAAATGACAAATCATTATTTATATATATTTACTTAAAAACTAGCATATGACAAAAGAGCTACCCAAGTCCTCCCTTGAGATGACTTCAGCCAAGACAAATGCCTTTAAATGATAAGATCTGTAGAGACTATCAGAGAAGCTAATCTCCTGGTGGGTCAAGGCCAGGGAGTAAAATGTGGGAGCAGAGAGGAGGCATCAGGGTCACTAGGGGAGGGCTGTGTATGAAGTTTACAGGAATGTTTCCTTTTAAAGCTTGCTAATATCTATTTGTCATGGCAACCTCATGTATTACAGGGTGGGACTGCTCCATAAGGGTTTCCTTGGCTATGACCTTTATGGAAACAGATCACCAGACCTTTATTCCACAGCACTACTGAGTGGATTCACACTGCTAATCTTTAGGTTAGTAGTTGAGAGCATACAATTTATGCCACAGTCGGAGTCAACTGGACAGCAATAGGTTTGGTTTGGAATATCCATTGCCTCATCTAGCCAATAGGTACCTTCTGATTGGATCCTCTGGGATCTTGAGTCTCTACTCTATTACATGTTTGGGTACAAGAATGGAAGCAATTTAAAAGGACCACCAAAGTAAAATGAAGAATAAAGAATTCCTTCAATGGATGGAATCAGAAGACAGATTTTATAGGTTTTTCATGCTGTTTTTTTTTTTTTAAATAAAGTCCCTCAATTGAACTTAGTTTATACTTCCAAGAAGATATGCGAATATATCCTTTTACTTATTTGTCAAGGAAGTGGAGGGAAGTAGTAGGGCTACATCATTTGAGAGATTGATTAGTGTAGGTCATTGGAATGTAAACAACAAATGCATATTATTTACACAGCTGCTTTAAAATAAAAGCATTTATAGTTTCCTTTGATTGACAAGTTACCTGGTTCAGATTATTGACTTTTGTTTTTCCTGACATTGTATTAGACCTTTTATCTCTTTGCTGTGTTTCAGAGTCCTAACTGTTCTCCAAGGCCATAGAACCAAATGTAATGAGGACCTCTTCTTGACAAGAATTTTAATACAGCTCCCAGAAGTCCCATGAGTCACAAACCTCAGGATCCATGTTGTATAGTCAGTTGGTTAGAGAGGCCGGTTCAGTATTTGCCTCTGGCAGTGTCATCATGGGCCTTCCCATGCCAATTTTCTCATCTGTCAAAAGACATCAAATGGGCTCTACTGGGAAATTTACAGAAGAGAAAAGTTGAATATCATAAGGTGGTACGAAGGAAATAATGCTTGTGACCTCATGCTGTGTTCCCTACTGATTTCTCTTTCAGAATTGGACAGGAGTTTCTCAATGATCAAGGAGGGCGATTATAACCCCCTCTTCATTCCAGTGGCAGTCATGGTCACTGCATTCTCTGGGTTGGCATTCATCATTTGGCTGGCAAGGCGATTAAAAAAAGGTATGTGAGTTGAACTTCAGATTAAAAGAATACAGCTTTAAAGTGAAAAAAAAAATATATAGAAACCCACAGGAAATTAAGTACTGAAGCAAGGATGCTAAGCTGTATGTGCTTTAGACATCAATTCCTGGAGACATGTGCAGCAGCCTGGTATACACCTCTATTAAAACAAGCTGGCTGATTTTTGCTTGTCATTCAGTGATCATTTAAAAACAGCTACTAAGTTCAAGGTACATGGCTGAGGTGATAACTATAATAAATCAGATATTCAAATTATTTGTTCTTCCTTACTTCTGAAAAAAAAGATACATAATCTCTGTCTTCAAAAGGCTACATGCCTTTGATTTTAGTGTTACAGTTCCACTAGGAAGTGAATCTAAGGTCCACTGTGGTTTGCAAGGCACTGGCTCCAAACACCTGATCTCTTCAAAAGTCACATACCTGTCTCCTGACATGTGGGATTTGTGTTCTCACCAGTGTTTATTCACCAAGGCCATGAGCTCTAACCAAATCTGTGACATGCTTATGCTACCCCTATCCCTCCACCTTGGACTGGAGAAGAAAAGGGAAGAAGGAGGGCTGTCTTGAGAAGCTAATATCTGCTTCTCAGAATAGTAGATGGCACATCACCAAAGAATAACAATAGCATCACTTCCCTTGCCTCTCTACGCAGTGTGTATAAGCCCTAAAGTGGAATCCTCCTGCTCATTGGGAGGACCCAGTCTCTGGCAAAGGTTGGATGTGCACTGTCACATTTGGCAGCACACATTCAGCAGAAACAGTCAAGATGTTGAAATTCATGTACATTAGGCAGCTTTTAAGACTTACTGTCTCAAGTTCTGGGTCCATGGATGACCTCAAAACAATTCATAATCAACTGCTCCATCCTGTCTTTTCCTGGAATTTTAATTTCACTTCCATCAAATTAGTGTGCTTTCTGCTCACTGAATATGGTATGTAAAGGCCACTTCCCATCCACATTGGCAATTATAGTATTAAAAAAAACAAAACTCACTGCCGTCGAGTAGGATCTGACTCATAATGACCCCTCTTTGGGTTTCCAAGGCGGTATCACTATGGAAGTAGATTGACCAGTCTTCCTTCCGAGGAGTGGCTAGTGGGTTTGAACCGCCAGCCTTCTGGTTAGCAGCCAAATGCCTTGGGCACTATGCCACCAGAGCTCCCAAAATTATCAATCCCTAATAGTCTTCCACTATGATTTGATTTTTCACCCTAAATTTAAGAATGACAGTGATAGGTTAGTTTTCTACCCAACCTAGAAAGACAACAAGAGGAGCACTGTCTGTATGAAAGAACTTTAACTGTACTCTGAGAGCACTGAGCACTTAAAATATCTCTTCTGTTAGAAATCTGCTAAAATTGGATCCCACTATCTTATAGTAATGTACTAAGTACTTAAGAAGGACCCCCGATGGTGCAAAAGTTAAACACTTGGCTGCTAACTGAAAGAATCGAGGTTTGAATCCACTCAGTGCCTCCACGGGAAAAAAAAAAAACCCTTGTGACCTGCTTCTGTAAAGATTATTTCCAAGAAAAAAACCCTATGGGGCCTGGGGTCTATCACATGGGGTCACTATAAATCAGAATAAACTCCATGGCACCCAACAACAATAAGTACTTAAGTACTGTACTGAGGCAAAAGAAGAAAGATATTTTTCTCACATGATTGGTTATCCTTTCCACTGTCTCTATAGTCTGACCCCAAGCATTCTTTCTTTCCTCCTACCTTGGGTGACAATGGCAGACCTGAGGGAGTAGAGAATGGAGTGGGCAATTACACACTGCCCTCTCTGGTAGCATAGTGGCTAAGGCACTTGACTGCTAACCAGAAGGCTGGCAGTTCAAACCCACCAGCCACTCCTCGGAAGGAAGGTTGGGCAATCTACTTCTGTAGTGATACTGCCTTGGAAACCCAAGGAGGGTACACTATGAGTCAGGTCCGACTCGATGGCACATAACAACAACAACAACTGGGATAAGGAGGCTATTATCTAAATAATCTTTAAGGACTCTGGGACCGTGAGTTACCTTCATAAAGGAGATATTTATCTCCAAATTCGAAAACTTTTTAATTTTTTTTTTTTTTTTGGTAGAAAAGAAAGAATAGAATCAAAATCACGTAGATTTAGTGAGGACGTTAGCTGGCTAACCCTGATTTATAAGCAGTAATGAAAAAGGCAATGAGGTTGTTTTCTATTTTTTTTTTTTTTTTTACCTTGGAGTCATTTCTGTACAAGATCTCAAACTGATAACATGAAAACTTGCATGCCCCTGCTGTGGGAATCAGTGTGGGGCAAACAGGAAACAGATAACGGGCAGTTAGTTAGACTAGTTACAGTTAGGCCAAAAAGAGAACAGAAGCCCCAAAAGTCAGAGTGTCCTATTGTAACATTTAAATAGTCTTCTCTTGTAAGACATCTCATCTTCTCCAACTCACAAATGATTTTGTATTCTAAAATTTTAGTTAAGTTGCTTCTTTGAAACATGAAGCATGTTTTCCTTGTAGAGACAATGTTGGAAGTAGTGATTAGGTTCCCAGGCTAACCCCCCATAACTCTTCTAATGCAAAATGTAGCAGATGCATCTGCAGTGATAAAAATAAAAAATAAATAAATAAATAAAGCTGTATATATACAGTACTCATCGACTCTGAAAATTTTATAGGATTTATTTTGGGTTCAGAAAGCTGAGAAAGAAGACAAGTGAACATTTCAAGCACAGTAGACAATGAAATGACCAGAATGTTGACTGTCCTTCTGTCCTTAGATGGACCTTCTGAATTGGTACTTTGACCCCCATTCTAGTCATCTTGGTATCCACAAGAGGGCTTCAGAAACATGTTACCCAGTGCACAGGATTATCTAGAAACATTTTGTGTTCCTTGCATCATCATTCTCTGATTAGCCGTTATCATTGGCCTTGCTTTATAAATAAGGAAACCAAGGCAATTATGCTTTTGGCCAACAAACCTCCACAAAAAAAAACCTCATGACTGTCCAGTTGATTCCAACTCATGATAACTCCACATGTTACAGAGGAGAACTGCTCCATAGGGTTTCCTTGCTGTAATATTTATGGAAATAGATCACCGGGTCTTTTTTGCGCAGTGCCACTGGGTGGGTTCAAACTGCCAACCATTAGGTTTGGTGGTTGAGTACAAATCATCTGCACCACACAGGGACCTTCTTGTTATAGAGGCCAAATCTCTAAAATCCCATAGCAGGGATTTGATAGCGGCCAGAGTCAAACCACTGGCCTTCAGATTAATGAGACTCTGGGGTTTTTTTCCCCCTCATTTGGAAAATTTTTCACCTAAACCAACACACAGGGTTAGAACAGGGCATGAAACTGAACATCTGCCCCCTTAGTTCCCTTTTTTTTCAAAAATAAAACCGCTCAGTAGGAACAGACTTTTCTCATTTATTGCTATTGTGTTTCATTGCTCCTAAAAGAAATATATATTTATAGAAAGACAAACAAATGGAACCTGAAATGAATTCAGATTTGATTCTCCCTGCTCAAATGTATTTGGCCCATGCCATCAATAGGCTAAATTTTGGAAGAAAGATTTATAACATCAATTGCTAACACTTTAAAGATTTAAAACAATAATGGAGTACTAAGTGCTAGGCTGTAGCCTAGAAATGTTTTCTTATTTAATTATTTTCTTATTGAATAGTTGTATCAACCTGATGACAAAGGTACATTTATTATACCCTTTTACAGATGAATGAAGAAATTGTGGTTCAGAGAGAATAAGTAACTGTTCAGAGACACACTATAGTTGACAAACAGGACTTGCATCTGGGTCAGATGATTTTAGAGTTCCAGGTTATAGTCACAGAATATATTGCCTCCAAATCACTCTTTCTCCTCAAAGATCTTTTTTTTTTTGCTTTTATTTCCTGTGGAGTCAGACTCTGCAGTTCATTCATTTATCTACTCACTTATACTTTGTTTTGTTTTGTTTTTCTTAAAAAAAATGTAAGACAGTCTAGAAAATATATTCGACATAACTAATTAAGATTAGTTTAAGAAATAGGTAAGAAAAAGAAGATAAAAATTTAGAGTAAAAAAATAATTTAGAGCCAGGAGTAAAGTTAGGACACAAAAGCGTGTGCCTCAAAGTCCTATATATACTCAATAGGACAGGGCCTCAGATCTGGCCCTGAGTTTCCTTGCAGCCAGTGAAAAAAAGGAAGCGTAACTGGTGAGAGTATTCACTGTGTTTGTAAGAAAAAAAACATATCGGGTACTCGGATGAGGCTGTACAATTTCTCCCAATGAAACAAGGGTGAGAATTCTTATGGATTCCCATAGAGGATGTAGTGTGATATGATGACATATGTCCTTACAGTATTAACAGCTAAGTCTCTTTGGGAAGAATTGGCAGGTAGGCTGACATGGCAGGTCAGGAAGGGTTAAACAAGTAAATGGGCTTATTGGGTCTGTCCATCAGCAATTCAACCTAGACTTCTCTCTTCTTGAGGAGCATACATGATGGAATTGAACTCTGAGAGGTATCTGCATCAGTGGGTTTATCCTATCTGTGTATTTACCACTGTTTGAATTAGAATATTAAGCCAAACCTTCATGTCCTCATAGACATAGATGATATCTATGTAACAAATGCAACTTAAACTTCAAAGGATGGTTTTGAGGGTGGAATCTCCCTTCTACTTTATTTTTTAAAAATTAGAATTTCCTATTTTTTGCTAATGATATTTCTTAATTTTCTTTTCTTCCACGTCCCCACCAGGCAAGAAGTCTCAGCAAAGGTAAGTCAGAGAGATATTTCCACATCTGTTGATCCCTTCTCTGCTTTCATTATGATACTGTTACAGCTAGACACATTCACACTATTTACCACATTTATTGCAAGGTCCTTGTCCAAGTGAACACTCTAGATAAAGTGATAAATCTATTAGCTTCCTTAAAAATCTGTGCTTTTTAGTGCCAGTAGAGCTGAATGAATGAATGAACAAGT